TATTAAAAACAAGATGCTATAGTATAAGTATAAATATGTAATTAGTATTTTAATAAATATATGCTACCAATATATATTTTAACAAAAACAACTAAGATTTTGAATGCTTTTTTATTACTAATACTGAGTTTACAAAATTTATACAAATTTATCCTTACATATCTATTGTATTTAAAGGCTATTCAAAATTTCATCGTATTATTTAAAACTTCTTAGAAGTTGTATAAACTTGTAACCGATTGAAGATCACAATTTACATCTTGTGTCTTTGAAAAATGACCTAATGCATGGAATTAAGGAATTAAAATTATTTATTTATTTATTTATTTATAGAGCATGTAAATTTCATCGGAACTTCGTGCATAAATGAAAAAATAAGAGGAGCGAACTAAAATATGACTTAAATAACACAATTTTACAATTGGTAGAAAAATATCAAATTATTTTATTAAATATGGCAATAATTCTAATATATACATTTATTATTCTATTATATTATTCCCCAATAATTATATAAAAATTTTTTTTAATATAATAACTTTTATTTGGTATTATATTTTCATACTTCAGTACATTGTAATAAATGAAAATTTAAATTTCTATAATTATTTTAATTAAAAATTTTGTTTTTATAATAGATTAAAAATTAAAAATACTAGAAAAGGTAAGGAATAATTTTTTAAAAACAAGTTCATAATAGAGTTAATAATAAAATCTTAAGGTTTTAATATACATAAGCATTTTTTGTTTTCAAAAAAATTGATTTTCGTAATGTTGAAAATATTTTTTTTAAAAAATAAAAACTTGATGATAGTAATGAATGAAAATACACGTATGATCTATATTTTAGAATGGTACACGATTCACTTTATTTATTGAGGTTTATAACATTTATTTTACCTATTAAATTATTGGTAAAAAGAAGGGACAAACAAATATATGAATAAGAAAAAAATATGAAATTGACTTAAAAATAAGCAATTAATAAACTTGAAACTAATACTTAAATTTTTAATTTAAATATTTGAGTGATTCTTAATTAGAATGAAGATTTACATTAGAATTATATATAGAAATTTAGATGTAACCCTGTATGCATCCATTATATTTATAATTAAGGAATTGAGTATTAAACACGTGGTTAAAAGAATAAAACAATATTTTACATACGTATTGTTAATCATAAAAATAGACATTCTTTTTTTATTGCAAACTAATTATAGATATATGTGTCAAATACTTTGTTTTATATAAACACTATTTTTTTTAATGAGACAAATGCAAATTATATTACATCTTGGAGTCGATTGGACTCGAAATCTTCCAACTGCTGTTGAAAGCCAATGTTGGGATTGGCAACAGCTCTTCCAACTCTCACCACTTTTAAGGCATCCTTCCACGAGAGATTTGTCGTACTCGTGATATATGCGACGGCTACTGTCACGCTGCGTGACATTCCTGCCAAACTATCGAATCCAACAGATAAACAAGGAAACGAAAAAAAATTATATTATCAAGGGAGTTATCAGATGCCGTTTATAAGTGTATTAAAATATAAAAATTGAAGCACGATAATTAATTTTTTTACTAAGTTATATTGTATAAAGCAGGTTTGTCGCTATGTTAGTCAAAGCATATATGAAAAAACAATTGGAAATTTTGAAATATTAAATTGCTTAAAATGTGTTTTAAAATATTGAGATTTCTATGATTAACTATATCGCATACATTCAAATGATAATTAATAAAACATTAGTAATTGGCGAATTAATTTTATTATGTATTATAAATTTAATTATTTTTACCAATGTATTAGAACGTTTCCACCGCGTAAACGAGCTGAATGTATGAAGTCGTTGCAAACTGAGAAATATTGAGACAGGTTTTGATCTGGCGTATCGGCGGCCATAATACAGAGATAGTGTTTATCCTGGCCATGAAAAAGTATATGTAGATTATGTAATATTATATTTAATCATATTACTTACAAATTAATTAAGGAGTCTTGCAGTCTAATCATTGATATTTGATCGCTTTTATGATAAGGATTTATTCATTCCTCTCGTTTCATAAATCTATCATTGGAAAATGAGAAATAATGTTTATTTATATTTAGCGATGTACGAATAGTATTAATTAATTTAATATCTGAATAATTCTTTAATCAAGAATAGAAAATAATGATTTTAGATATTAAAACACATATTTATCATTTGCCATTCGATCAATGTACTCTTCTATCAAATTTGTTATGATTTTCTCTGTATACCTATATATATATATATATATATATATATATATATATATATATATATATAATAAAGTTCTGATCTAAACATTTGTTTCTCATTGTTATTTTTTCGATTTCATGCAATTTAGTAGCTATACTAATTAGTAAATTTATTAAAATATATGGGTTATTATATTTTATTTTCGAATAAAATGCTTAGTAAAAGTTACAAATTTTAATTTTTTTTCTTTACCTTATCATTGTACGAATTACCTATGAATTATGTCCATTCCGTAAAATACTCGTAAAAAGGGTAGATTGTTATAGATTAGCGTTAGGGAAATGATTTAGTAGCTTGTATTAAATTACTTTTCTTTTAGTTCTGTTAATGTACATAGTAAATAATGACATTGAACATTTTATTTGTTATCTTTATTTTGCTATTAAAAAAAAAACTAATAAGAAATAAGGTGAAATAAATCTGTACTAGAAAAATAATGAACTTAGGAATTCATATTTTCTCTTTAAGCGTTGAACTGAACTTGAGTAAACACTTTTATTGCATAGTAATTCTTCATGTATGCAAATACAATGTTAACGAGGTGTAAAAAAATAAATGATTGAATATTTTTTGATATTTTAAAACGACCTTTATCATATTTTATATATTAAATAATTTTTAAATTAAATATTTTAATATAAAATATTTTATTTATTATTTATTCCTGGGCAAAAAAATTTGATATGAAGACATTTTTTGTGGTAGCATTTCCAATGGATCTTTTTAATAATTTCTAACCAAAAATTTAACGATATATGTTAATCAAAATATTTATTTGTACTTTTAAAGTGTATTGTTCTTTTTTATAAAATCGATTTTATAAATGGAAATTATTTTACAATTTCAATTTAAAAAATAGAATCTTTTGAAAATATATGTTTTTAAATAATGATAAGTTTTTAAAGTAATTTTAATAATTAAATGTAAGCTCTTTAAATGTTTGATTTTCTATCTGATTAATATTGATTTTACAAATACCCATTGTGATTTTAATTAAAGTTTTTATTTTTTTTATTTAATTTAATTTTTATTAATTTAATTTTCAGTTCAAAGATATTGTATTATATATCTAAATGACTAAACTAAAAATATAAACATTTTGATTTGCATTAGAGAATACGTCTCCATTTAATTTTAATTTCATGTTTCCATTCATTGTTTGTCATTTTTAATTACATCCTTATATATACTCATTTACGCTTACATATATGTATTGAAAAAAGTTTAACTAATTCAGCGCTTTTACCAATAATTCGATTTTTATAGAAAATATTTATAAAACTTTGATTACAAAATTTAATTATTAAAAGTAGGAAAATGTCTCATTGAAAATTGGGGAAGTAATTGTTTAATAAATGATTTTGATAAATAAATGTAATCATTTTTCAGACAAAACTTAAGCGCAGAATTTTCGATTGATTAAATATTATATGAATGTATTAAATATTACAAATACTCGCAAGATAAATTAGCAAAATTAATTAAATATCTCTACAAATTGTTTTTAATATTTGTAGCAAAAAAATGTTGTCAACTACAAATAAATTTAACAGCAAGTACGTTATCTTCTGCTACAATTATTGTTTACATTTAGTATTATTTCATTTGTAGATAAGGATAGGATAATCACAAGCGTTCTGATAATCACAGGTCGATACGGTTGGATAAAATCATAAAAATAGTTAAATTGCATTTTACCAGTAAATTTCGATGAATCCGGTTGAATCACGCTTAGGACAACCAGATTTTTTATATTACTTTTTAACATTATATTGTGCAAATCGATATGCTATTGACGGATACGTATTGCTATCTAGATTTTATTAAAAATACCTTTTCATATGATTTCTCGTTTTCTTTATTTACACGTCATCGTTAGTTAAAACTTGTTATTTTCGATCTTCAACTATATTACCCCAGTACTGAATTTGTTATTGAATTCGTAAAAATGGAATATCTTGCATTATAACAAATATTTCGGAATATTCTAACAACGTCAAGCGTGTGTTGAGGTACTAATCAAAGTAAAAAATCTGATTATCCACCCTTATGTATAATGAGAAGCACAAAGTTAAGACGAATAATAGTTATTGAATTGAATTGAAGAGACGTAAAGAAACTTACGGAGTGCAGCTGTCGGGCAGCATCGTGAATTGCGAGGATATGTGTGATCTCGAAGCGTTCGAGCTGGGCCGAGTCCTTGCTGTCTCGATAGTTGCCGACATAGAGACCAGGTAGCACCTGCAAACAGCTTCCGCGTAAAGCCGTAAGGATCCCCGGATGACACTTGCTATCGGGAACGGAAGGGTGAAGGAGAGCTCGTATTGGAGCGGTTAGAAAGAGGGAGGGAGCGTATCATGTGGTGCATACGCGCCCAGTAGAAAAAAGGTCAGACAAAAGCGTAATTGAAATATACATCCAGCGATAAAGTTGTGCTCGCACGGGCACGGCTTTATTGCCCTGCGCTTGTCGTTAGAAATATCAAAAGTCAATTTATCGCTTCTTTTAATGCCTCTCTCACTCGCTCTCCCTCGCGCCACGGATTAATGATCGTTTTATATTACGTATCAATTCCCCCCTTGGTCCCTGTTTCATTTTTCCGTGCCTCTCTCCCCCTGTGGCTCCTGAATCCGCCGCCACCGTGCCCCCTCCTATTCGAGGACTGCCGCCATGACCGCCCCCTGCCCCCTGCAATGATTTACGCGCTTATCGCGGAGCGGAGACGCAGTTCGCACCGGCCTTCTCAAGCACTCGGTCAGCATCTACGAAGCGACGAACATGGGCTCACGTACGCGCCGCCGTTGGCTGATCTTCGCCATCCTCGGCGCCCTCGCAGCCGGCCTCGGTGACGCCACCCCACCACCCTCGTCACCCACTAAAGGTACTCACTGGAAGTACTCGGCCTCCGATTTGGACGCCGGAAATCCGATTGTCGTCACTATGGCTATACAATTGGATCGCATCCTGGGGCGGGATGATGCTTTTGCGCGCTTCTAAACTGTGTCCTCGGCTTCATCGACCCGCCACCAGTGATTTCTCCTCGCGCGATCGCCTCAATAAGGGATGTCTTCTAAACGAAAGTGTACTTGCGTCACAATCATAAATAAAGCATACGAGTGTAACCAGATTTAATACGGTGTCACAAAAAAATTATTTTATAATACAATTTAAGAGATTATTAATGGAGATACACCTATTCAATTGAAGCCGTTAATCAAATGTAAATGGTTGGCGAAAAATATTTGGCGCAAAAACACAGGCATTAATGCTCCCCTCTCCAATGCTTAATTGGCCGGGAACTTTTTTTAACGAGCTTTATTTTTTCTATATTTATCGATTCCGTCTACCATCCGGCTTTAACTTTTAGCTGACGTTTACTCTACGCGCACATATCGAAATTATCGCCGGTTTACTTTCATTAAATACATCCACATCTGTGGCTTCAATAGTATCTCCCCTCCTTTCGGCACTACCCACCTGACTTTTCCATGGATCACTAATTCAAATCTCATTGTTTTATATTTGAAATGAAATTATTACGAATTATTCAACAACTGTACGTTGAAATTTATTGATAAGCAGCAAATCTTTCGTGTGAAATTGAATTAATGATTAAACCTGTAATGTTTAATTACTTTTGGAGAATAAATTGCCGAGTCGATTTTCAATAATCATTTAAATGAACAAAATAAAATGAAAGTAAGAAAAACGCTGGTTACATGAAACACTGTTTTTACGGGCTAATATAATACGTGGGCACGATTTGTGGATGTAGATTCGGATGATCGAAACGAGCTCCAAGAAAAAGACTTTTCAATTTATAATAAATATTGCCCGATTAATTTTTGTAATGAATTAATTTCAAATTATACATATTTGAATGAAATGCAACTAACATTCAATAATAAGTCGAATGAACCGAAGAATCATTGAGTATAATATGTTTACATAATTTGAAATTCTTTAGAATAAATATTCTTATATGAAGTAAATAAATATTAGATATCGAGAATTTGTCCAGCAGTTCTACTCTTAAATTAAATTAAGGTTATGTCTGTTTATAGTAGGCCAAGTCCAAGACTTTGTTTTTAAATTAATATAAACACTTTCACAATATTTTTATGTCAATGTAATATAAGAACATTATTAATAACTCTTCGAATAATTTAAATATTTCAGAGTTCGATATTATTAATAATGAAATAGAATGATCGTTATTAGATCAATATTTTCCTTATTGACCTTCGCACTTTATGAGGTTGCTTAAGAATGCAAAGTACTCAACCGTATTTGGCAACCACGAATGAAAGCCGACGTTTATCTGTTGAAATTATAGCTACTCGAAGAGCTTCAAACTAATGTAGTGTGGATGAATTTGTAGGTAAAAGGACGCAGAATGAAATAGAAACATCAACTATCGCGATCACGTCATTACGAATGTACCACCTGGATCCACCGTCAAGGCGCCGCTTCCTTAGCGCTTCACTACCTTCACCAACGCTGACTGTTGGCACTTTTGATGACACAGAATCAGCAATCGTCCAGGAGCCAACCAAAATATCTCAAATTGAATCCCATCAATTTAATGCCATCAAGGAGGACGATGTTTTCAATTGGCTGCACGGATTGACGCAAGAGCGTAAGCGCCTCTTCCTTGATAAAATCGGCTGTACATCCTGTACTTGTCCACGTAGCTGCACCCGCCGGAAATGTAAGAAGACCGGACACTTAACCCCAGAATCGAGGAACCTTGAACCGCCACCGCCTCCGCCTCCGGAATCTGATATCATCACAACGACTAGTACATCACCCCCACCGCCTCCCACAACAACAACTCCTGAGCCGATGACAACAATCAGGACGACGACCACTAGTACGACTACTACAACGCTTCGACCTACAACAACTACCACCACGACAACAACTGAACTACCACTTAGTAGCTCAAAGTCGACTCCAAAGTTGATCGAACCAATACCAACCCCAAAATTCATCGATTACTCTTCTGTGCCCACCCCCAAGAAAGAGAAGTCCAAATGCCGCAGGAAAAAGAAAGGCGGTAAGGGAGCGAATTAAGGGGTATGGGAACATGACCTCTTCGCCTGTTACTTTTTCGTCTTTCGATTATTGTATAGAGCATCTGCTATTTTAATCGTGCACGCTGATTCTCGAATAAAGGGAAATTTATCTGACTAAGCCTCCTTTTTTCCTCTTTTCGATTCTTCTCTATGTTTTTATCTACATCGTTTATTATATATTTTCTGTGTTTTCCCTTATTTTATTTATATTTTTTTATTTTTCACCATAGTGATAAGCACGATTTAATTTTTAGAAGAATATGACTGATTCAAGACACTTTTATCAACATCAAATTTTCTAGAATCTCTGACGTTGATGTAATGTTAAAATATAAGTGATAGGTTTACGTTTATTTTTGCTTTTAGTTGTACAATGTCCCAAAAAAAATTTCCTTAAGAATCAAATTTATAATAGTTGAATAATTTGTAATTATCAAATTACATTCTGGAAATGGGAGAAAGAGAGAGAGAGAGAGAGAGAGAGAGAGACATATAATTTTCATCTCATTATCTAAAGATAATAATCTAAATATTAACTATGACTTTGTTAATCAGCTATTCACATTTGCATTATTATGTATATATCACGAAAATAGATTCATTTTTATGTGTTAATTATTTTGTAGAATATCTGATATTTCGGTAGTATATTTCAAATTTAAAATAAAAGAAAACTCGAATGATAATGTATAAGTCAAGTATGATTAAATTATTACTACCTTGAATCGCTTTCGTTTTGAAAAGACTGTCTATTAATAACTCATTAAACGATTAAAATTCTGAATAATATTCAGTTTATTGTTTTTATTAAAGCATTTATTTTGTGGACTATAAAATAGAAATTTAATATTTTTTCGCATTGATCTTCACTTGCTCATGCTATCATTAAAATAGGAGACTAATAAAATTGAAAACAAGATACTAAATATTCAACAATCGATTTGTCATTTCTTATGATTAAATTAACTATGTTATTGCTATGATTGGTATTACATCAAAGATTATACACTTGTGTATGTTTTAGCCTTATCGGCAGGGGGGAGGAAGAGAGAATAATACTGATTGAAAAATGGCATTATAAGTTACCTTGTCACGCGGGACAATTGTTTTTAGGTTAATTCTATACGTTCGGCAAAAGGCGCCAATTTTAAAAACAAAGCAAAGTATTTCCAGTTGTGGACGTAATTCTCGATGCGTTATTGCGATAAGAGATGCCACTTGTGGTTAAATTATAGTTATATATATGGATATCAAAAGCTAAATTAAGTGTTTTTCATCGCGGTAATGGCATTTCTTTTTATCTCTTTATCGGAGAGTCGATGGTATATTTGGTAATTTTAAAAATGAATTGCTGATTATTGTTGTTAATTTTTTAATGTTATATAAATTAGTTATTAATTAACTTTAACTTAAATTTCGATTAAATATGAATTTAATTAGAACATAATTTACTCAATAGACCAAACACTGATTTATGACAAGGTTGATATTTTCACATGAACAAACCTTACATAATGTTTAGGTAAAATTTCATATTTAAAGTATAGTTATTCAAATTAGTTATATATAATATGATTTTATTATCGAATATAATAACGATACATTATTTAATTGTCCTTTTATGATAATATTTTATAAAGTATTAAAAATTTTCTTTTTAGCGTAAGGTACGTGCTTTAGTTACATATTATTTTTTTATTATTGGTCAAATAACAATAATAATTTTATCACTTGATAAGATTTATTTCATAATACTATTTTGTAAGTAAATAATTATATTTTTATTTAAATTTTTAATTTATGTATTTATTTATTTTTCTGCGGAAAATTCTTTTACTATTAAATTAAATTTAACATCAAATAAACTTTCGGTGAATTCTAATTATGATGAAAATAAATTATTGTGAACGATGATTAACACATTTGAACTAAACTTAATAGATAGATCCATTAATATAATATTACAGTGTAAAAAAGTATATTTTAATTATAAAGATAAAATAATAAATTTGAATTTCCAAATATTAATGATGAATACGAACTTCATTAGATTATTAATTATATTAGATTATATTAGATTATGTTACTAACTAAAAATATATTTTATTTGGTTTTTATCAAACCAAATTTTAATTACTTTTATTTGAAAGCATTATTCCGGTATTTGATTTTAATTGAAATAACAATGAATAATATAAATACACATATATGTAAATATAAATGTTTACGTATATATATATATATATTCATAATATAAAATCAAACACTACGATCGTGTCAGATTGTAATAGTTTGTGAATAAGTTTTAAGGAATGTATGTACATTATTCTTCTTCTATCGTATACATATCTAAATAAAGTTAAAATTGTCAAGAGCGCATGAATACTATATTAACACCAAACTATTTTATGGTTGATAGATTACTTTTACGTATTTCACAAATAGCAAGAGATACTGTTAAAATGGCTAAGCCTAACATTTGTTCAATTAAAGTACAACCTAGCTATAAATTTTCTACATGAGCAATATCAATCATTCATACAATGTAGATATGAGACTTGAATTAGTGTCATATATGCTTGAATATGGCTTTATGTGAATTAAAATGTATCACATAAGTCATGCATGTATATCTTAAAGTCAAAATTCACTTTCTCAATAATTTAATTTTTTAACATAATTTATTTTTTGTTAATCGTGGTGTATTTATTTTATAGACAGATCTTATTCCTATAATCGTTTTTATTGTATTAAGTGCCTTCGTCCATAAAATCGTTCAAAATCAAAAAAATGGTGAATTACTTTTTTATTGTCATTAATAAATTGAAGAATTGTTTGGAAATACTTCTTCTAAGAAAGTTTTTCAAGGCATTCTTACTTTGAAAATTTGTTACATGGAGTTCATGAAATGAGTTTCAAAGTTGATTATTAATAGTAAATTAGGTCGAGATAGAGTAGGAAACGATATGATATATTAATACCTTAGATACCTTCGTAAATAACGTTAATTACTTTCATAAAATGAACGAATTGAATCCATATAAATTTAAATTTGTCAATGAATTCAATTACCTGAATATTCAATTTCTATATAAAAAAGCAATAGTATGGAATTTCCTTTAATGAATATAAATAATTGAAGTTTAATTTTTTTTATAAATGTCAACTTTACCAGTCATATTTTTGAAATATATACAATTTCATTCTGAAAATACTATTAAAAATTTTTCATCTTACTTTCCTACTGTTTCTTATTTTTTATTTACAATATGCCACTATAAGTATTTCACATTACATTTATAACATGAATGCAAAATTGTTATCAATTATTTTTAATAATATTTCACTAAATTCAGTAATTTCAATTTTTGAATAATTTTTTAAACTGTTTTTCTATTAATGCAATTGAATGAAAAATTTTTTTTTTACATTAATAACAAAAATGTATCGATAATATTGCTATAATCGATCATTTATTTTTATTTTGATCTAGCTAAAAATAAAGCACTTAAATAATAATTTATTATCTAATAAATATTTCTTACTACACTTCCAATGTATTAATGAGAAAAGAAATAAGAAATGAATAAGAAGTTTTACATGTATTAATAACCGTCTGTAATTCTAATTTCACTATTGTTATTATTTTTCAATGTTTTACAATAAACTCTATATATTTTAATAATTTAACATGATTTATATTAATAGATAAATAGTGTATATTGATTAAATAATGTATAATTATAATTATAATTATTATAATTTCATTATAATAGAAATATAATGCAATATATAGAAGTATTTGTATTGATTTGGCGTTTTTAAGTGATTTGTTAATTAATAATTGAAAGACCTTTTATTGAACTGCTTTTGATAAAAAAATTAAAATTAAAGAAATATGAAATGTGGTATTTCATCATAATCAATTACACTTATAAATAATATTCCATTTTAATTAATATAATTATTTAGGTCCTTATTAAAGATAATATTATAGTAATTTGTAAAATATTTCTGTTTTAGTTTTAGTTTACGATTAATGAGAAAAAACTGAGATATGTAATAAAGTTTTATAATTAAAATATTATTTCAATTTTTGAGGTATTACAAGTAATATAATATTACTTTACTTCGTTTAACTCTCTGAATAACAATTTAACAGATAGTATACTCTGTTCATTTTTGGCTGGCAATGTTCCTTATTGAAATATAACAAAATTTTACGAAATTAAGATTTCAGATTAAGATAGACTCTTTCAAGTTAGTTCTTATATGGGTAACGATCTCGTACCTTATTCATGCCATTGCCCATATTGGTTCAGTAAGAATGAGCCTTGTATGTAATCGAGTTGTTTAATCGATTCGCGTGTTTCGACGCCGGCGCCCCGGCGGGGAAAGTTTCCACATTTTCCACACAAGATCTCCTCCTGTCTCTAGCCTCAGCAATGAGCCGCATTCATCTATCGATGACAAATACTAGCTTAGTTATATCTTAGTTTGCTTTTGCTATGCTAGTTTAAGTAATACACTTACTTAGATGATATTATTTCCAGTTAATTATGATTTCCATTGTGCATTAAATAGCTGTGGAATATATAATATTTAAAAGCAGACTTGATATAATAAAGTTTAAAAAATCATATAGTAAAATGGAAATATATTTCATTTAAAAATAAGTTATATCAAATAAAGTATTACTACTAATATTATATAAGTATTAGTACTAATATTATATTAAACGTATAATGCTTTGATGTATTGATTGATTATAAAATAAATATTAAATATTTTAGAAACTACTGATTTGCATAAATTACTAATTATTGTATATTATTATTGCATTATTATTACTTATTACATAATAATCAAATAGTCATGATATTTTGAAATATAATGTGTATAAATATAGAATAAGTTTTAATTTTTGCAAAAAAATTTTTAAATAATTATGAGTAAATTACAGAAATAAGTTTCTTCATGATGAATTGTGTTGAAACACAAGTATATTTATTTGAAAGAACATTTGACATTACTATAGATACATTTAAAGATTACATTAAAAATAGTTATATATATATATATATATATATATATACTATATATATATAGTAATA